TTTCTGCATGGTTTTCGTTTTCCATTCTTAATAACATATATAATTGCCTCATTCACATCTAGAAAGTTGGCAGATTAAATTTAGTAAATAAAATTAGATAAAATTACCCTCATTTGGGAGTTGAACAAGCTGAGATATACTTAAGGTTTGTCAAGCTCTACTTCATTTACCCCGATGTCTTTTCAGTTTCTAAAGCTTGGCAAATGTTGTTCTGCCTCAGAGCTTCCACATATTGTTCCCTCTGCCTGTAAACCCCCTTAATTTTCTTCCCACTCTTTAATCAGCCACCCCTTGTTGATCACACCTCTTAACTCAAACAGAAATAGAGACATGTCACATATTTTGCATAATATACTTTTTAGGTCTTGATTTAATATTTCTGTCTTAGAATTATTTTTAATGTCCAATCAAAACAAGATACCAGTTCCCCTCCTCATGCCCTGTTATTCTTTATAACTGTACCTTGTTCTTCATTGTGTTTCCCAAAAATTGTGACCCATTAGTTAATTTATTAATGTATTCCTTACTTTAAGCCTCACAAGGACAGGAGATGAATTCTATTTCATACATCATTGCATCCCCAACACCTAGCCATTCCTGGTACATGATAGTTTAATAAGTATTTAATAAATGGCATGAATGAATAAATTTAAACATATATGCACTCACACACATATGTAATAACTTTAAGTTTTTTAAGGCCAAGCAAGTATATATTAATATTTTGTATATCATTCTATTATAGTGCTTTGTACAGTAACTGGCAAAAAATAATAGCAATAATAGATGTTTAATGAGTTCATTAAATTAATAAAAACATTCAGAAATTTTTAAGCCACTTGTAATCTTTTATTTAATGAGCTCAGATAACCACATACTTGCAAAACATTTAGAATTTTTATAACCCCCTTGAAGTCTAGAGCATGAGCTAGCTAAGTCTGAGAATCACAAGAGCAAAAACAATGTAAGAGGTGGGTAAGTGTGCCCATATTAGGAAAAGGTGCTGTCACTCAGTAGTCTTTCAGACCTCCTGCAAACATTCACATGATTTACCATCAGTGTTGCCAACTTGTACAATGAAGGGTAGCGTATAACAGCTATACCTCTATTATCATAAATATTCATTTAAATATTCTAAATATTTATTGAGAGGACTTAGGTTTTTACTCAGTGAAACCAGAAGTTACTGGAGGGATTTGATTTAAGATAAATTCTTTAAAAGATCACTCTGGATGCTGTGCTGAATATAGCCTGTACTAGTTTGGAATTTATCCCTGTAAGGCAGGTAAAAGTTGATAGTTGATGGATTCAACATGGTCTCTCTGAAGGTGGTTAGAAGTGGTAAGATTCTAGGATATATTTTAAAGGCAGAGCTAACAGTATTTCATGACAAATTATCACATATAAGAAAGGACAGAAATGGAGATTTCAAGTTTTAAGCTTTATGAATTCTGAGAATGAATGAGTTTTCCAGTCCTTTTTTTCTACTGTTCTACATAAGAATTGAAATATTTTGTTCATTAATAGCTCATCCTAAGGCAAAAGTTATACCTTTGAGCAATTTATAATCAGAACTTACTATTGGGATGTAAAATATTGTTTCTATATTCCTTTTAATTTTAGTTTTGCCTAATTCAGCACTTTACAATTAGGAGATGAAGCTATATTTTAAAATGTCACTGAGCAATTTTAAGATTATATAACAATGTTTTCCTTCTCATCTGAAAATTTTACTATTGCTCAACATGGAGAATGTCCTTCACATTTTAGCCTTTAGAACATAGGAAGTCGATATGTATTGGTAAGCAGGTATTACATTTATGGAGTGCTTTGTCATTTTTTTGACATGCTTTGACATGTCATGTCATCCCACTCTTGTCATAGAACTGGGAGACAGGTGAGAAGGAAATATGTGTAGGAAATTGAAGAGTTTAAGTGACTGAATGGCCAACATGGTAACTCCTTCTTTCCCATTCACTAATGTATTTTGATCCAGCTCCAACTGATGGAGAAAAACTGGGAGCTTGGAGTGCCCCATGCTCACTGAAAGCTAAATGTCTCATACAATGACCCAAATTTGACCTTATCTTTATTGTTAATGCCTCAGAATTGGATAAACAAATCACTTTATTCCTCGGACTTAATCACATCACCAGAATCATCTAGTCATGTTACCCTCCATTTTCTTGCGAACTCACAAAAAAATACAAAAAAAAAAAAAAAAAATTTTGTATTTCCTCACCTATGCCATCTTTCTATTTTCTCATCTATGCCATCTTTCTTGTTTTCTTGTTTTTTTTGTTTTTTGTTTTTTTTTTTTTTTGAGACGGAGTCTCGCTCTGTTACCTAGGCTGGAGTGCAGTGCAGTGGCGTGATCTCGACTCACTGCAAGCTCCACCTCCTTGGTTCACGTGATTCTCCTGCCTCAGCCTCCCGAGTAGCTGGGACTACAGGCACCCGCCACCACGCCCGGCTAATTTTTTGTATTTTTAGTAGAGACGGTTTCACCGTGTTAGCCAGGATAGTCTTGATCTCCTGACGTAATGATCCGCCCGCCTCGGCCTCCCAAAGTGCTGGGATTACAGGGGTCAGCCACTGCGCCCTGCCACTTATTTTTTGTATGTTTGTTTGTTTAATTAAGGAAGCTCACTCACAGCTTTCCTGGCCTCTCTCCAAAGACTAAAACTTGTTTTGTGAATTGCAATCAAAGAAATACAAAAAGTAACAATGATCTCATCAGTAGACATGAAAATGCAAGAAGAAAGATGCCGTTGTAAAACTCAACAAGGTGTGGTGGTAGATAGATCTCTTTCTTTTTCTTGTTGTTAAATCCTGAAGCTATCAAACAATAACTTACCTTATTGACAAGGGTCTGGTGGAAAATCTAATGAGCATTAGTAATGAATGCATCAGCAATAAGCCCCTTGACTTTAGTGCACTCATCTTTTAATCTTTGACCCAGCTGCTGCAAGCACCTGGTTCCCAAAATTCAGTTAGGAAAATACAATGGAAATAATAATAATAATAATAATAATAATAATAATACTGCAATGTCTTTCTTTTCTTTAAGCCATGCAAGTAATTTATACCAATTCCTTTTCAGAGGCAGAAATGAAGTCTGTTTTTGTATTTAAAGATAATCTCAGCATATCTGACAATCCTGGGCAGTTATGGGGGTGGTGAAGGAAGGGAAGCAAAGTCGTTTGAGAAAGTAAAGACATTAAGACATTCAACTGCCAACGAAGAATAAATTTTAACGGATGTAGGAAGAATCGTTTGTAAGAAGTGCAGACAAATGCAAAATGGTATTATTAATAAGTAACATCATTAGAGGCCGTTCTTTCTAACCACTCACACCTCTGAATCATCACGGGGTTCCCTGACTTCCTAGCTCTCTCTACCCTCCAGCAGTGACGCCCCTTCTCCCAATCATTGTCAGGGATTTAAGTGCCATAGTCAAAGAGAACCTTATTATCTACCTGCTCCCCCAGCTTCTCTCTGAGTGACACACCACCCACGCCTCCCCCGCACAGCTTTCCTCCTCCCATGGCTCTCAGAAGGAATGTGAGGAGCAGGAGAGGGAGCCCAAGGCTACACTCGCCTGAACCCCAAAAAGACGAGGCTTTAAGACCCTTATTCACCCACTGAGTCTATGCCCTGGCGGTTCTGCCAACCCCCGCCGCGCGCTGCGGGAGTATAAGCCAGTCCTGCGCTGCGCTTCCAGCTGCGTCTGCCCGAGCGCGGCACGTGCTCCCGGCGCTGGCGCGAGAGAGCGAGCGCCACCGCCGCGGGCCCCGCAGCCGTTCTGCCTGCTGTCACCGCTGCCTCCATCGCCGACACTAGCGCTCCAGCTGCAGCCAAGGCCGCTACGAGAGCGCAGGAAGCCCTCGAGGAGCGGCTGCCTGGGGGCGCAAGGCTCAGGGCGCGCACCTGGTAAGCACAGCGCCTTTTTCTTTCTCTTAGCTGTAGTTACCACGGATATAGGATACCGCTGTAGCCCCTCCCCCAGTGCAGGGATGGAGAGCGATCAGGCGAGGGGCGGGAGCTGGGGCTAAAAAGACCCAGGAGGGCAGGTGGTGGGCAGGTGGAGGACTGGTGGAGCCAGGAACGCTAGGAGGTCCTGCAAGTTTAGAAAAGTCACCCTGCAAGGACGTGTGCTGTGTGAATCAGACATAAATTTAAGTCAGGAGCCTGGGCTACCGCGGCATCGCTCCAATGGGAGGTTTATGAAGATCATTTTGCTTTTATTTGCATAAGTGAGGGATTTAAGTGGGCTTGTTTCCATAGAAAACGAACTAAAAAAAAATCAGAGGAGGAAAAAATAAAGATCCGAGCCAAAGGATACGTTTGGATCTCTCTCTCTCTTTCTGTGTGTGTGTGTGTGTGTGTGTGTGTGTGTCTGTCATACCGATACATGTGCACGAAAGGCATGGATTTAGGAAGGGAGAGGGGCTCCTCTATCTTTGAGCCCATTAGGTGTTTGGGGGAGCTAATAAGAGCAGTTGCTGGTGCTTCACCCCAAAAAGAGGCAGAGAAGAAGGGACCCGATTGGGTGTAAATGTCAGTGTTCCATTTCTAAAAGGACTACAGTACTAGGAGGGAGAGGTTTTCTAGAACTGTGGGTCATGTAAAGATGGTACACCTGCAACTCTGGACCTATAAACTCAAGTTCATATACTCCCAGTGGAGCCGGGAAGACATGTTTACTCTTCGTGCCTGTATGGAACTTTGGCAGAGGATAATCACACACACACACACACACACACACACACACAGAGAGAGAGAGAGAGAGAGAGAGAGAGAGAATGAAATAATGAAATAAATGAATAGAGGGAAGAGAAGGGAGCTGAATATGACTGAATAGGCTGAGTGGGGTAGTAGAAAGAACAAGAACAGGGTGATCGGGTTTGGCATCACTGCGTTCATTCAGTTCTACCCTAGGTAGTTCCTGGACTAATCTCTAGAAAAACATGACCTTGAACAAGCCCCTTAACCTTCATGTACTCAGTTTCTCTACTGAACAATGTAGAGGATATTCTGCATTTGGGGACATGAAGGTCCCATGCAGTAGTGTTGATGTATGTGTTTGAAGATCTGCATACTAAGAAGTAAGAACGCTCATAAAATATGGATAAAGGAAGCTTCAGGGGATTCTTCCTCAAAGTACTAAAGGCAGTTGGCAAGATCCTGACTGTGCTGTCAGGATAATGCATGCTGAGAGGTCTCTGGAAATGACTGAGGAAAATCCGACCTCCAGCCTGCAGCTCAGTGAACTTGGAGTTCTGAGAGCTGTTTAGAAATGTTCAGATCCAGTCTAAAGTCATACGCTATTTTTAAGGTTAGCGTTGAGGAAGAAGGTTTGGTGGCAAGGAAAATAAGTGCCAATCCAGTTTAAAGGTTAGGTGGTCAGGGCAGCAAAAAGAAGGTTTTAAAGTAAAACATAAATGCAATGTAATCTGGGCAGAGGGGTTAGGAAGAAGAAGATAATGGATATTCCTCCTGAGACAAGGATGTCTATACTCCTAGGAGTCAACTGGGACTTACCATGTCCTTGACACTCCTTCCACCTGTCTGAGGAAGGCACAGGTGCCCTTTCTCACTCAATACAGGCTTATTCTTAGAATTTAGGGATCTGTATCCCAGGTGCTGAGATATGACGGTAAACATGTGAAAACTAAGTCCTGGGAGTGCCTCCAACTCCCTTGCCATGTGAGCATCTGTTTGCAGAGCTGGTCTACCCATCCAGATTCACCCAGGAGTCTGTGTTCCTAAAGGAACTCACTGTGCCACTTGGTGGCACCAAAAAGTTGCGCAAAGAACTCTGTTCTCTATAAATACAAACTACCACCCCTCCCTCCTCCGCTCTCTCCCCTTCCCCCCTTCCCCCCTTTCTCAGTAGCGGGGAGATTGCTGCACACGCCGCCCTCAGCTCGGCTGTTCTGCGCACGCTGAGCGGAGGGGATGAGCTTGAGATCATCTTGGGGGGGAAGCCGGGGACTGGAGAGGCCGGCTCTGCCCCGCTGATCCCTGTGGCCCAACTTTTCGGGGGGCTAGCTAGACCGAGTCTCACTGCTCGCTGCGCAGCCAACAGGGGGGTAAGCTTGCTAAGTGTCTGTGTGCCCAAATGTTCCCTGGCCAGAGAAGGATTTAGGATCTATAAGCTTGCTGAGTAGCTCATAGTTTTATTGGGGGAGGGGGACGCGGGTGGAGCGGGGGTGGCCAAAGCTGACAAGATTCAAGTCTACTCCATTTGCGAACAGCCTTAATTAAACCTGTTGGGGAAAAAGGCGCGAGCAATGGGGTGAAGGAGGGAAGAGCTGCAAGGGTTGAAAAGGGGATTCTGCATGCCTTCGCATCCGAGTTCCCGCTCTCTAAGGCCAGGTGCGCGTGGTTTCGAATGCAGAGTGTGCTCCCGCGAACCACCCGAGGGCTCGGAATTGTGAGAAGCAAAGGTGGAGAGGGAAAGAGGACAGAGAATTGCTTTTCAATAGATCGGTTAGCGGTCGCATCCTGGCGCCCGCTGCAGGAAGAGGGGGGACAGCGGGTGGTGCTGAAAGCACATCTCTCTCACTCAGGCTTTATTGCCTCTCTTTGAACACCAGCCTGAGCCCTCCCGCTCTTTCCTCTTCCATGAATTTGTCTTTCCCCTCGAACACAAAGCCAGCTAGTTATCCCACGGCGGGAGCATGATCAGCATGCCAACGAGGAAGCCCAGGCTACAGCGACTTAGGGAAGAAAACCCAGGGCAGGCCCTTGAGTGTGGAGGCTAGCCGGTGACCCGAGCCTAACATGCATTAGGACCTCTCCAGGGAAGTGACAGGTCCACCTGGAAGGCTCTTTCACCTGGTACTTGAATTTACAGCTGCCTTCATTTCCCTTCAGAGGAGTTGCTGTGTGGAAGGGAAATTTAGGAAAGGATAACAAGCGCTTGTGCTTATTTAGACACAATCTTGATGCTGCCTTAGTTGGACTGTAACATCGAGTAACCAGGCAGATAGGTTCTCCAACACTTTACTTTTCAATAAGCAATTGATACAGACCAGTGAAAAGGCAGCTTCTCCTTTTCACCTTCTTCTCCGTTCACTACATGGTATTTCATTGTTCAGAGTTTCTCAGAACAAAGCTAGAGCTAATTTGTGTCTCTAATGCTGGGCACTGGCCATTTGAAGCAGCCAAAGGTGCATTGACCAGGACTACGTGCAGCCCTTCCTCCAGTGGGACATAAGCAGGGGTTTTCTGTGGAAGCCGTAGTTGCATGACATTCTACTGTCAGCTATGGAGCGTTCAGGTATGCTACCTATTGTTAGGTGTGCTTTTTGCTGTTTTCTTTATGGAGTGCAGGGAGTTTTCTCCTTTAATTTCTCAGTTCCGTCAGTGTAATTACACATGTAAGAATCCATTGTGACTATTTCTGTCCTTTATGCATGTTTATTTCTATTTAAAAAGGCCATTGGTTTGGGACTTGAAAATACTGCATCCTGAACTCATTGGGTTAGTAGTATGTACCCCATCAATTTCCAGCCTTCTCCCCGTGAAACCTCGTCAGCACTCTGGACAGATCTTTCAAGCTTTCTTAGGAAAAAAATATACATAGCACTTCCTAAATATCAGCTTCTCTTAAGAGAAAAAGCTTTCCCTAGTCATTTACACTCCACATGACAAAATATACAATCTAGATATTTTAATTGCACCCCCTAGAGGTTTGTGCTATCACATGGGAATGTTTTGGCTGTGGGCTATACACTCACAAAAAGCCCAAACTCTTCAATGTTCACTTATGAAAGAATATGTCGAGATTATTTGGGAGAGGAAGATGGTATTTGAATAATCCAAGTTTTTCACTTTACTTCCATAGGTAGACACAGACCTTTACTATCACTTTATAGTATACCTTATGGACATGATGACAAACACCCAGGGGGAAATTGAAAAATTCACTCATATCTATTTTATCCAAGCAGCACAAACTATCTAGACTTTGGGAATACTTGATTAACTACATACCATTTTTAGTTTGGGTTCTGATCATTAATGTTGTTGTGTTTCATGATAAAATGACTTATATCATTAAAGATGCTCACTTTTGTGACTAAAGCATTTTAATAATTCTACTTTTCTTATTTCTTTCCAAAACTCATTTAATATTTTATAGGAGTCTTACTATATTGTCTTTTACAGAATGATAATTTTAGTTAGAGAAACTAAATTAAGTGTCAATGAAAGGTAGGTGATACTACAAGTAGAAAATGTAAGATGAGGTTAATCATTAAAAATATTTTTTTGTATACCAATTTTATCCCAGGTTTTCTATCCTCATGGGATGAAGACAGAGCTACATCCAAATATTTTAACTTACACATACTTATTATATTATATATATGTACATGTGAGGTATTTTTATGTATATGTCTATAGATAGATCATGTATGAACCAACTTTATAAAATATTAGATACTACCTTTATATATGTTGATATATATATGTTATATGATAAAGCTGATTTGGTTTGTATCACGGTTGGATATATTGAAGATGTATTATTACAAAGCAGGAGGATTCTACAGTTTAGAAATATGTGTTATATTCATATTCAGAGAAATATTAATTCTACTCCTGATGCATCATTTAGTTGTCATTTTAGTCAGTGAATGAAGCTTAGGAGAACATAAGAAGACAGGAACATGAAAAGAAATATTTTTAATGTATGATGTATTTATATAACCCAAGAAAAGAAACTTCAATTTTGATGTTTGAATTTTCAATTATTTGTAAATCAGATAATATCTTGGTATTCCTTTATCTTAGTTGTTTAAAATGTGTTTCTAAAAAGCATTAAGGCATAGGCTTGCTTTCATTTCCTTTAAATCCATAGAAAGGAGATGAAAATCTATATTTTACCAGTCCAAATCATATTTTAACTATATATAACTTTTGTCAAAAGGGCCACCAGGCAAAAATCTTGGTGCAGACTCATCCCTGCTCTAATAACTACTATTTATTAAGCACATCAGGCATGATGCTAAGCACTAGGTATGTTATTTTATTTAATTATCATATCAACAATATAAGGCATTATTTGTTTTTCCTTTTCTGTTATAAAAACTAAGCTTTTTATTCTATTGTCAAAAAACAGTGCGTAGTTTATGCAGTGTTCTCTGTGGGTCAGACACTTTATTTGTGCAATTAATTATACTCATTCAGTAACATGTACTGCTATAACTCATCCCCCATTTTGAAAATAAGAAAACATATTTCATTCATATATATGTGTGTGTGTATATGTATATATGTATCTTTTACCATATATGTAAAAAGAGAGAAATAATGGGAACATATATACATATATATGCAGAAGAGAGAGATTTGATTTGTTTGGCACTAAAACTTACCCTGTTTCCATTGTATTGAGCTGCATTACTCTGTGATGTGGCTAAACACTAAACATCATGGGATTATTTTATTGTGGTTGCCAGTGAGTTGTGGTATGATTGGAAGTACAGGTCCTGGCTTCAAATTGCCTGAGTTTTAATCTCAGCTTTGTGGCTTACTACTTATGTGACCTTAGGCAAGTTACTTAAATTTATGTACCTCAGTTTCATTATTTTCAAATTGGGGGATGGATTATAGCAGTACATGGCATCGAGTGAATATGATGAATTAATTGCACAAATTAAAAAAAAAAAATAGGTGCAGAAAACCACCATGGCAGACATAGACATATGTAACAAACCTGCATGTTCTGCACATGTACCCTACATTTTTAGAAGAAATAAAGAGAAAAATAAATTAAATTAAAAAATAAAGTATCTGACCCATAGTGAACAGAGCATAAACTATCCTACCCAAGCCTTTGGATGTCCAGTTTTCTGCATTTCCTGTGTTATTACATTTAGTGTTCAACTAGCCTATGGATTGTGTTTTATTTTTATTTTATGACTTTAATGATAAAATGTAATACTGAAATAGATTAAATAACTTGTCCAATGTCCCATGGTACAAACAAAGGTGACAGAGCAGGTATATAAATCTAGGATCATCTGATTTCCAAACTTTTACTCTTATGATACTGACCTACAGCTTAGACACATATATCAATTTTTTTGAATTCTACTAATTTTGAGTCGGCAGCCCTTCCTCTACAAGGGAATGTGCAAATATTTATTTTTCTCATATATTCAAGAATATTTAAAAATGTGCAAATGCTTGAAGATAATCAAAAATCAAAATGATACATAATTGCTATCTCAAATATCTCCTTTTTTAGTCAGACTGTAGAAGAAGTGTAAAGGAAAGACATATGCAAAAATATATTTTATGCATATATGATTTTTATTGGTCTTGCAAATATATCAGATTCAAGAAAAACTCTCTAATGATTAGCTGTTCACAATAATTCTGGTTCAGGTCATGGGTTTTAAAATTTTGAGTGTAAATGTTCTGAGGAAAATGAAAACTTGTAATCACAATGATAATAGTGAGCACTTTAATAATGCAGCCTTCTTACAGTCATTATATTTTACAGAAGAATGATAAAAATACCTTTTAAAAAATGATTTGTCTAAATGCATAGTAATGTAGAATTATTCAAAGATATAGAAACAAATAATACACTATTATATCATTTGTTTAAAAATAAGTAAAATTTTAAAAATCAATGTGTAAATTACTTTATAAAGTTATCATTGTCTTGTTAAATTTATAATGAACTTTGCATTTCATATCAAAAGCAGCCTTTGAGTTTGGGAAGTATATTGTAGGATACTCTCCTCACATTCATTTCTTGTAATTTGTGATACTTAGAACTATGCATATTTAATGTAAGGCAATATAAACCTTGACTCTTACAGTTTAAATTTATCTTTCTCAAATTGAAATTTCTACCTTTTAAACAAGATAATACAGACAAATAACTACATAAACATTGAATAAGGAAGCCTATTTCAACCTTCTCTCCTTAGCATTATTTGGAAGTTTCAGGTAGAGGCTTTGTAAGACTGATGTGTCCTGATGATTGGCTCTTAGTTATGCTTTTCTTTCATGATTATGTCAACCTTGCCAGGATAACTTTAATGTAAATTAGTGTTTTTCAACTGGAACTGACTTTACATACAGGAGACATTTGCTAATATCTGAGGACATATTTGTTTATCAGAGCTGGCGGGGGGATGGCATTGTCATCTAGTGAATAGAAACCAGGGGTGCTGCTAAACAACCAACAGTGCACAAAAAACATCCACCCACAACAAAAGATTATCCAGTCCAAAATGTCAATAGTGCTTGGGTTGAGAAACTCTTATCTAAATGATGCTAGGAAACAGAGTTTCCAATATTTACTTGATTTGTTTGTATGCTTTCTGATGAATTTCTGGACATTACATAAGAATTTAATGGAAAGCAGGATCTCCAAAATGCTTTGCAACCAATGCATAAGGTTTGAATAATCAATTCATTTGTTTTTTGGGGGAGATCTCATGATTTGTTTATAAGTATGGGCTTTGGAGCCAAATGTAGTTAGATTCATGTCCTGATTCTGCCATTTATTATAGGTTTGATACTTTGGATAAGATTCTTGACCTCTAAACTTCAATTTCTAGAGGTAGTAACATAGGTAGTAAATATACCTACCTTACAGGGTTATTGTGAGACTTACATCAAATAATTATTATACATTATTTAGCAGAAAGAAGGCACTTGATAAATATTATCTGTTAATACATAAGTGGAAATCAAGTTATAGAAAGGTAAAATCACAGTCTCAAGCATTTGATGATAGGTAATATATAGAATAATGCTTTACAGTCTTCAGAGGTATACCCTTAATAACGAGAAATCAGCTGAAGGCTACAGGATGGGTAAAAGTGTAAAATCCCTGCTTTATAATTAAATTGACACTAGTTAACTGTGGATTGCATCATTTTTATTGCTTTGCTGCAGAAGGCTGTTCCAGGTCTTCATAGACTACTAAACCACTTGTTTAAATGATTTACAGTGATTTAGTGAGTTTTTTTCTACTGCCAGAACTTTTTAATTAATGGATAAAATTACAGATTTCATCTTTGTACAATAGTGTTTTATGGCCCTTTTTTTTGTTGAGGGGGTTTCAGTTAAAATGTGGCCTATGCTTTGTGGGGCTAAACAGTGGATGCTGCATTTTCTTGTTTACAAAGTCACAAATGTGTGATTGAGATAGTAATGACAATAGAACTTTGCTTAGACTACAGGGTTCTCTGTATCATTGCACCTCAGAATATCTCTTATCTATGGTATGCACTTATTTTCAGAAAAATA